CAAGGTACTTTTCAGAACTAAATTAAAACCTTAAACTAAGTTGTGCTGTTTTGATATTCATAAACATGGAAAAAAATGGTTTTAACTGTATTTGTATACTTGGCAAATCTGGGAAGAACCACACTGAGTTTGTGTGTAACAGTTCACACTGAAAACCACTTGTGTATTTCTTTAAAGTGGAGCCTAATTAATTTCATTGAAAAAAAAAAAAAACATTACATAACAAACATTCATTATTTATGAACATTATTGTGTGTAAGTTTTGTTAAAATGACAATTCATGTGATATCTCATATGTTTTCATATACCATATACCGTAAGTCAGACGGGAACGCTGTTTTTTTTTTTTCCATTGAAATGCATAATTTCACTAAATGGAGTTGAGGAAACAATAATAACATGAAATCAAGTCCTGTTAAACTTTTTCAGACATTTTACATTTTAACTCACATTGCAGTGTTAAAATGTGTGTAAAGAACTTAAACAAGAAATACAAAAAAAAATACAAAAAAAATTTTTTTCTGATCTCTAAATATTGTTTACTGTATCACTTTACATATTCATTAGCCTAAGTATTATTGATTTGAAAAGTTTTAATATCATAATATTTAGAAAATGCATTAACGTTATCCTGTAGGCCTTATGACATTTTGACTGGTGTGGTCACATGATTCTCAGTTAAACCACTTAAAATACATAGTTTAAAATTTAGATTTTAGTAACAAGTAAAAAAAAAAAAAACATCCCCATAAAGATAATAACTACTTTGATGTAAAGTTTTAACCAATTTAATTTTTTTTTTTTATCAGTTGAAAACCTTATTTGTCATTGATGTAAGCTCACGCGCTCTGCTCACGCACGCGGCTTCGGATGCGCGTGCGAGCATATGAGTGATTCGAGTATGAGTTGCTATGGCGACGCGTCTTATGAATTTTGAATGAAAATATCAACACTTTGATCGCTGTTGGTTGGTTGAGAGTCGAGGCGATTTCAGAGACTTTTGCTGAAAATTTTCTTGTGCTGAACTTGAGATTTTGAAGCTGTTCGGAGGATTTCAGAGAGAGAGGAGACTTTTATTCCAGAAGGAGATCGGATAATATATCCTAGCTAACGCTACATCGTTTTATTTATTTTTATTTAATATTATTTCTGAGGACGCTTTAATTTGATTGTTCTTTTCTTGTTTTTGAGGGAGTTTTGGAGTTTTATTTTATTTATTATTGTTTATTTTTATTTTATTTTTATTTTTTAAATTTTTTTTTGGGGGGGGGGGGGGGGGGTATTTCTGAGTATTTTGGGTGGGGTATGAGGTGGGGTATTTCATTGTATTGTATTGTATTTTGTATTGTATTGCTCTTGTTTGCAGGAGGATGCCAGGCCCGACCGGGACTCAGAGCCATGAGCTTATTCCTGGATATGTAACATCTCTGTCTTGTGAGTTTGTTTCTGTCTCCACAGGTCCGGCTGACAGGAAGAGAGAGTGGCAGAGAGACAGCCAGCAGAGCCCAGATGATGGACGTCCGTCCACTTCTTCTCAAGACTCTCGGAGAGCAAAGGCAAAGGTAGGGTGGCCAACAGTCCTGTTTTCACGTCCTGTCCTGGCCCTCCTGGCTGCTCTTTATAAAGTGATGAAAATGTCCTGGTTTTCAAAAAACTGCTGGGAAAGATCAGCTCTACAGCAAAATATAGATGGGCAAGGAAGAAAAACAGGATAAAGAGGAAGAAAACTAAAGATATAAATATATTTTGTTAGTTCTTTTTGGCAAGTTTGTGAGAGATATATATTTGTTCAATTTGTAGGTATTTCTTTCAGTTATTTATTATTTATATATTTACTTTTGTAATACAGAAGAGACATTATTTCATTATTTTTGAAACCTGTCATAATAAAACGTTGAGTAACCTCTGAGAAGCCTATCTGAATTTGTGTCTTGTTAATGTAACAATTTTCTATTTATACAGAGGAGGAATAGCCTACTTTCAATGTATTGAAATGAATAAGGCATCTTTGAGTAAACTTTGAGTATCTGTTTGCTGGGCCGAGTGTCCTGGTTTTTGGTAATCAAAATATGGTCCCCCTAGGCAGAGGAAGAGGAGAAGCTTCATTCCCGTGACTGGAGCGGCATCACCCCAGACCAGAGGACTGTACCGATACCTGAGAGAAGAGCTGAGGGTAAATCAAATGACCATTGGAGAATATTATCACTGGAGTGTCATTAATTACCATATATGACCACACCATATTATATCAAAATACAACTGAAGCCAATAATCAGATTTAGTTTTTATTCCAAGACACATCATAACATATTTAAATAAGGATTGGGTACAAATTTCAAGAATAGCCATAATTTGAGTATCCAATGTTTAATAATTATGATTAGTTTGAAACATGCTTGTGTGTGCTATTCCCTGCTTTAGAGGATCATGGTCACACATGGTACACAACATTATAAGTTATTATTAATATTTGGTTGGTTCTCTTGTTTTTGCATGTGTTTTTAATTCAGCTTTATATAACAGCCTGGACAAAAATGATGTTGCCAAATTGTTTATGTTTTATTGAATTATTATCACAAATTAAACAATCGACTCCCAGCTTAACTGTGCAATATGACTACAAAATCTTACACACATTTATAATAACATTTAAATGCAAGACAAGAGTGCAGATGTCAGATTTCCTGGGCCGGACGTCACTTGTGTTCACTATTGTATATCGCTGTAATTGTAAATGTAAGGGAGGAAAGGAAAGCATGTGTGTGTGTGTGTGTGTAATCAGGCACTAGGATGATTGGGACGAACATATTTAACTGTTTTCATCCCATGTTCTTCTTTCTTCATGATGTCAAGCCTCAGTATTTACGGTTTCTTGTGTTAATGTTTTTACCTTTCTTCAAGGCATCTGTGCTTTCTTACGGAGAATCGGGAAGGCTGTAAAGCTGGACTGCAGTGAGGTCGATATACTTGTGTCCACATATCCCTCCTGCAATCCCACGGATGTCCAGCAGGATTCATCCGAGTTTTACTGGGCAACACCAGTGCATCCGTGTCCATCTGGAGTCCAGCTGCCGGTTAATGCCGATCCGGACGATCCCGAACACTCATGCACATCTGTCCTGGACCCAGAGCCGGCAGTGGCACGAGATCTAGAGCTGATGTCTTTCTCAGGATTGTCCAGTCTCTCTAGTATCGAGCTGACGCCGGACTCTATTCAGGACGATCCTGACGATGCATCGTCTGTCCCGGGTGAGTCTATGGTCATTATTATTACTGTCAGTACTTTCATTATAACCGAGTTGTGTTGTGTTCATCTTGTGTACCTAATTATTAAAGTCCCCCGCTGGTCAATCAATTCATCCCTTTAAACTCATCTTTGATCACCAAATAATTCCATATTTAAATGTTTTTTTCTTTGAAAAAACAATCCGTCACGCCTTAAAATAGTTTGAATGTAACTCGACACCCTTGCCTTATTTAGTATGCTCAGTTCTATGAATATGCAAATGAGCCCCGCCTCCACTCACTCACTCAGCCCAGAGATCCACTGGTTGACGATCACACGTTGATCTGATTGGTTACAAGGTGGTTTGTGACGTCAGAAACACCAGCGATTTCACACCGTGTTTTTGAGACTGTCTTTGGTTCACTGCAGTTTTAAGGAGGAAATACTCTGAAAATACTTGAAAAATGTCCCACTTTTCCAGTTGTCTCACCTCACAATTGAATTCTTTCTTCATTATGTCTTCCCTCAGATTTTGCTGAGAGCCAAACAAAGAAGAAGAAGAAGAAAGATGTGGGTGCGTTTCTCCGTAGGAAATGGAGGGCTATGATAGCGCCGGCTGTTGGTAAGTCTATTATTAGTCTATTGTCATTCTTTTCGTTATAGTTGTAGACTTTTGCTCTAGTCTACGGTTTATGTTATTCTTGTTCCCCTTAAATTATTAGTGTTCAACATTCAGCATCTATTTTATTTTTCACTATAATCTAGCGGTGGGAATCTTTTGGTGCTTCGCGATTCGAAGCGATTCTCGATTTTGAATCAAATTTCGATTTGAAATGAGCATTTTGATTGTAGTTTACTGTTGTGTGTTACTTCTCTTATTTGACTGCGGTACACAGTTTAATAGCTCTAGAGAAAAAAAGAAAATCCGACTGAATTAAATGTGAACCTTGAAATGTATTTAGTTTTTTAGGAATGAGTGCATGAAAATAGTTACACATCCGGTTTTCTTCCATTTGAAAAGGCATTTTTGTGTGTGGGCTGTTGTCATATACGTTTACATAAGGGATTTATTAATATGAAAATGATTTTGTGATTCTCTACTGTAACCCATGACACAGTCACAAGCTATTATAAGTCCATCACTTTTTTGCCGTTTTATTGCCTTTCCATGATTTGATTTGGTCGTCTTTGTTTTGTCCGAAGTTGGCGTGGCGTAATTTAATTTATTTTTCCATTTTTTCTTTTTTTTAGAAAAACAATCAAGAAGGAGGGTGAAGAAAGGCTCATTCATCCAACGAACATGGAAAACTCTAAAGGTTTCCGCTCTTGGTTGTTACGGGGACGACACAGTGGACCCAGATCCAGCAGATCTACAGCCACAAATATCTGTCCTCTCCAGGGACTTAACCGAGCCAGGTCCATCTCACCGCGAGATCAGTTCTGACCAGTTACCCTTCTCAGGTCCATCTCACCGCGAGATCAGTTTAGACACGTCACCCTTCTCAAGTCCATCTGGTTCCCAGTCAAGTTTCTTTTGCTCCGATTCATCGTCTGCTCCATGTCTGACCGATCTTCTCTCAGAGTTATCAATTTTAATGGGAGATTACGAGCCTGTTTCCAGTTAATCCAGTCTCAAGCTGATCCTGAGCTGAGTTGTAGGGCTGTGCACACGTTTCTTTTCTGTATTGACTAAGCCTGAATTGCGGAAGAATCATCAAACTGAAGCTGAAATTGGGCAACCTGATATACACGGACACTGTTGGTTGAGGACTAAATTGGACTTAGTGTGATTTCAATTTTCCATGTTGCTGTTGTTGTTTTTTTTTCTTGATTGTTTCAAGTCCTTTTGTATTTTATTTTCATTTTTTACATTTTTTATTCTGATTGAATATTGTATTGGTTTCTCTCATCTTTTCCTATTTTGTTTCTAAGGTGACGAGAGTTGAAAGGAGAATTTAAAGGGTAATTGGGTGAAAGAATTGTAGCTAGAATTAGATTCAAACGTAGCTAAAATTAGGTCAGACGCGTCTCAAGCCACTGTCGTTACCCACGTGACACCTGACACCTGGAGGGGCGTGATTGGGAGGAACGGCCCCCCCGACCTGAACCCGAGTGGTGTTCAGTTATTGGACTTCTGTGCTAGTTACAGTTTGTCCATAACGAACACCATGTTCAAGCATAAGGGTGTCCACCAGTGCACGTGGCACCAGGACACCCTAGGCCGTAGGTCGATGATCGACTTTGTGGTCGTTTCATCTGACCTGCGGCCGTATGTCTTGGACACTCGGGTGAAGAGAGCGGCGGAGCTGTCAACTGATCACCACCTGGTGGTGAGTTGGATCCGATGGCGGGGGAGGAGGCTGGACGGACTCGGCAGACCCAAGCGTACTGTAAGGGTTTGCTGGGAACGTTTGGCCGAATCTCCTGTCAGAAAGATCTTCAACTCTCACCTCCGGCAGAGCTACGACCAGATCCCGAAGGAGGCTGGAGATATTGAGTCTGAGTGGACCATGTTCTCCACCTCCATTGTCGAAGCGGCTGCTCGGAGCTGTGGCCGTAAGGTCTCCGGTGCCTGTCGAGGCGGCAATCCTCGAACCCGGTGGTGGACACCGGAAGTAAAGGATGCCGTCAAGCTGAAGAAGGAGTCCTATCGGGCCTGGTTGGCTCGTGGGACTCCGGAGGCAGCTGACAGGTACCGGCAGGCCAAGCGGACTGCGGCCCGGGTGGTCGTGGAGGCAAAAACTCGGGCCTGGGAGGAGTTCGGTGAGGCCATGGAGAAGGACTATCGGCTGGCCTCGAAGAAATTCTGGCAAACTGTCCGGCGCCTCAGGAAGGGGAAACAGTCCCCTACCAATGCTGTTTACAGTAGGGGTGGGCGGCTGTTGACCTCGACTGGGGATGTCGTCGGACGGTGGAAGGAATACTTCGAGGACCTCCTCAATCCCGCCGTCACGTCTTCCATTGAGGAAGCAGAGGCTGAGGGTTCGGAGGTGGACTCGTCCATCACCCTAGCTGAGGTCACCGAGGTAGTCAAGAAACTCCTCGGTGGCAAGGCACCGGGGGTGGATGAGATCCGCCCCGAATACCTTAAGTCTCTGGATGCTGTGGGGCTGTCTTGGTTGACACGCCTCTGCAGCATCGCGTGGCGGTCGGGGACAGTGCCTCTGGGATGGCAGACCGGGGTGGTGGTTCCTCTTTTTAAGAAGGGGGACCGGAGGGTGTGTTCCAACTATAGGGGGATCACACTTCTCAGCCTCCCTGGGAAAGTCTATGCCAGGGTACTGGAGAGGAGAATACGGCCGATAGTGGAACCTCGGATTCAGGAGGAACAGTGCGGTTTTCGTCCTGGCCGTGGAACACTGGACCAGCTCTATACTCTCTACAGGGTGCTGGAGGGTTCATGGGAGTTTGCCCAACCAGTCCACATGTGTTTTGTGGATTTGGAGAAGGCATTCGACTGTGTCCCCCGAGGCGGCCTGTGGAGGGTGCTCCGGGAATATGGGGTCCGGGGTCCTTTGCTAAGGGCTGTCCGATCCCTGTATGACCGAAGCAGGAGCTTGGTTCGCATTGCCGGTAGTAAGTCAGACTTCTTCCCGGTGCATGTTGGACTCCGGCAGGGCTGCCCTTTGTCGCCGGTTCTGTTCATAATTTTTATGGACAGAATTTCTAGGCGCAGCCAGGGGCCGGAGGGTGTCAGGTTTGGGGACCACACGATTTCATCTCTGCTCTTCGCGGATGATGTTGTCGTGTTGGCCCCTTCATACCAGGACCTTCAGCATGCACTGGGACGGTTTGCAGCCGAGTGTGAAGCGGCTGGGATGAAAATAAGCACCTCCAAATCCGAGGCCATGGTCCTCAGCCGGAAAAGGGTGGCTTGCCCACTTCAGGTTGGTGGAGAGATCCTTCCTCAAGTGGAGGAGTTTAAGTATCTTGGGGTTTTGTTCACGAGTGAGGGAGGGATGGAACGGGAGATTGACAGACGGATCGGTGCAGCTTCAGCAGTAATGCGGTCGATGTACCGATCTGTTGTGGTGAAGAAGGAGCTGAGCCGTAAGGCAAAGCTCTCGATTTACCAGTCAATCTACGTTCCTACTCTCACCTATGGTCATGAGCTTTGGGTCATGACCGAAAGGACAAGATCCCGGATACAGGCGGCTGAAATGAGCTTTCTCCGCAGGGTGGCTGGGCGATCCCTTAGAGATAGGGTGAGAAGCTCGGTCACTCGGGAGGAGCTCAGAGTAGAGCCGCTGCTCCTCCACATCGAGAGGGGTCAGCTGAGGTGGCTCGGGCATCTGTTCCGGATGCCTCCTGGACGCCTTCCTGGGGAGGTGTTCCGGGCACGTCCCACTGGGCGGAGGCCCCGGGGAAGACCTAGGACACGCTGGAGAGACTATGTCTCCCGGCTGGCCTGGGAACGCCTCGGTATCCCCCCAGAAGAGCTGGAGGAAGTGTCTGGGGAGAGGGAAGTTTGGGCATCTCTGCTTAGACTGCTGCCCCCGCGACCCGGCCCCGGATGAGCGGAAGAAGATGTGTGATGTGTGTGTGCGTCTCAAGCCATTATATGGCTGGAACTGCAAATACGGCTGGAGCGTTTGGTTGTTGGTTGTAGAGCGAGACACTGCTTCACTGCTGCTCGCCCTGCGATCGATTGCCAAACTCACTTTCTTTACACTCACTTACAATCGAACAATCTGTAATGTAAAAAGTGCTTTTTAAATATATTTGACTTGACTATTCTACACACTTTGTATTCATGTATAATGTATGCTTGTATAATGTATTCTTGTATAATGGCTGTTATTGTTCATTAACTTTTATTGTTCAGTAAATAATATTTTGTAATAATAATAAATTGGCGTACCTGATTTTGAGAGATGTTGTGTGTGTTCGACCGCTTAACACTGTGATTGCTATCAGGATATGAGGAGAATTTCAACCCGCATAATAAAAAAATTAATTGTAGACAGTCACCTATTGCACCTCAGCATTTTCCACACACTTTTATCTTTATATGGAAAAAAATTATATTCTTCAGGAGGGGCAGGTCCTCTATCCACCTTCTTTTTAATGTAATACCAAGGTATCAAAAATACAAGTACATATCAAAAATGTAAAACTTACATACAATTAAATGATAATAAAATCCATAATTTATGCAAATATACATGGGCCTATACATAGAGATTTCATATAGCCTATATATACATGTAAAAACAAGAAAAACAGAACAGAAAACTTTAATGAAATGAGTTAAAAAGTTGAAACAAGGTTACTGAGCTTTAAGATTCTCAGATGATGAAATATGTACTGTTGGACCTCTCTCCTAAAAACGGTGAATTTGAAAAGAAAATTTAATAGCAATAATAGAATAATAATAAAGTATTCATTCGTTTGAGCTTTTTGTATATTAAAAAAAAGCCAAACATTACATCCTTAAAAAAAGAGAGAGAAACCCGGAAGAACATTGCAGTTAATGAAGCATCTCGTCTGACTGTTTACTGATAAACCTGCTCCCTAGGTACATGAACCGTACATTTGCACTCATGTGAATATTAGTGACTAAATCTAATTTTGCTAGGTTAGGTATTGTGTTGTATTGTTGAGTGATACGGGGCGAATCCAATGTAAAATGCGAGAGTTTTCAGCTGGATAGCACGCGGTTCGCGCGCAAATCGTTTATGTGTTTATCAGTAGAGTGATTTAGTTGAAGGTCGATATGATCTGTGTTTTCACGTGTGTGTGTTTTATGTCAGATTGAGGCTTGTGAATGTAGACAGTGTCGCTGCACTACTTTAAGTGCACTCATTTATTCACAGTGAACTTGGGATGCGTTGATTTAAAGGAGAAGTACATACTCATGCACTTGTGTATAACATTATAGAAATAATAGAGCTCATGCATTGTTGTGTAATAATTATTTATTTATTGCCAAGATTGATTCTAAGTAAAAACTCTGTTAATGAAGCATCTGACTGTTTACTGATAAACCTGCTCCCTTTCAGGAGTGCTACATTAGCAGGGTTAAATTTGTGTAAAAATTTTAGTGAAATGTCTTTCAAACTCAAAGTCCATACTGGCAAAGTCAATATGGTCAATAAAGTTCATCCAATATGACGCCACATATGGAGTTGTTACAAGCTCCTTTTAAAAGAGATCTAATTCTAGAATTACGGGATGAAGGATGCGACAAACCGTTTTCCTACTGGGAGTTCACATGGGGTTTTGTTTTATCTGTGTGGCTGTTGTAATGATATAGAATCTGAATGTGATTTTATGATTATTTTGCTCTGTCCACACAGCACTGTGGTCAACTGTGGTTGTATTAGTGTGTGTGTGTGTGTGTGTGTGTGTGTGTGTGTGTGTGTGTGTGTGTGTGTGTGTGTGTGTGTGTGTGTGTGTGTGTGTGTGTGTGTGTGTGTGTGTGTGTGTGTGTGTGTGTGTGTGTGTGTGTGTTCAAGCAAGGTCCTCTTGTCTTCAAAGGACACTGGTCACTGATTACATCAACCAGTTCCAGTTTTCCAGTCTTACACATCCTTCCTCCAAAACCCATTCTACTTAGTTTAATAAGCAGTTATTCTCTCCACATAGTACGCCTTCGCCATGTTATCATAAACTGTCAGTCACTTGGCAGGCAGCCAATGATAATTACAGGAGCAGAAAGAAAGGTTGTAAAGGGAAATTTAAAAGGAGTGAGAGACATAAAGAGATAGAATGATTAATAATATATATTTTTTTTATTAGACATCTAAAAAGAAAAGATTTTCTACCATGAACAGCCTAAATCCTAAAAAATAACGCTGGGTATAAAGTGGTGTTGAAATACATTACTAAGATTTTTCTTTATAGAGTTCCAGGATTTCAGAAAGGAAACAGCCTAGCTGGAACTAATCTGGAACCAAAGGGGGGAAGTGGGGGACACTCCTTGGAGTCTACAAGAAAACACTAGCGTCCCATACCAACCAAAAACTAGTATTTGAGGGGCTCCACTGGCCCTGGGAAGAGTCTTATTGTCATAACACCATAAATCCATTAAATCAAATTTCTGTGTTTGTTTGTTTGTTTGTTTGTTTGTTTTTCTAAAAAGAATGGCATAGTCCAGTGCTCAACTTAAAAAGTTTTTAAGGAGAACGAATTTGTGGATAAAATATATATTATAGTATATAGTATAGTATATAGTATGTTATAGTGTAACAAAAGAATATTCACCTAGATTGTGGGGGCCAGCCAACATCTCCATGAGGAAATAAGAACAATACCATAGAAAGGTCAAACAAAAGTGTGTGTACGCGCGTGTGTGTGTTTGACCTATGTTATGAGTAACAAAGTCCTAATATTGTGGTGGATATTCAGACTTCAGGCCACACCCCCTATGAGTAAGTGTGTGGGGGTGGGGTGGAGCGGAGTAGGAATGGGACACAGATTTCATCTGTGATAATCAGTGTGAAAAAGTGAATAGAGGAAAGGCTGTCTGAACTTACATAACTTGTTGTTTTTTTAGGTTGAGTGTAAAGTGCAGAGAGAGAGGGGGAAGGAGAGAGGATAAGCTCTGCATTATTGCACCACGTAGTATAATTTAACACGGGAGAGCTGCGTGAAACATTTGAGGAGAGCAGAAGAGAAGAGCAAACAAAAAGGATCAAGATATTTACAGGAACAACACTTTTTCAACATAATGGAAATCCCAGACTTGTCCTCAGTGAGTAAATACATTTCTTGAAATTGTTTTAGGAAATAACTGAAGAAATACCTTAACTGGTGTATAAATCAAAAGCTGTTTTATTCACACTTTTGTTGAATAAGGATGGGTGAGTTGAGGAATGAGAAGTCATTGACAACATATGATTTGGAAATAATAAAAATAACATGATTGCAGTTTAAAGGCACTATAGAAAGTACTGTACTTTCTGTAGAGTATATTGTAAATGGTGTAGTCTCATTTATCAACTTCATCAAAGTTGAAAGAAAGAAAGAAAGAAACTCGAGCTGCGTTGAGACGCTGTGGGAACGCTCCTGCATGATTGCGTTGTGTCGCATGTGTACAATCAGTCCAACGTAGAGACGAGACGTCATAAGCGGGTGACATCATCAACCGGGAAATTATAAAGCACACCTGAAAAAAGAACACGCTAGCTTCTGTGCCTTCAGCATATGAAGAGTTTGGTTCCAAAACGCTATAAATCCATTTTGATGAATTTGAGTAAAACTGTGTTTTCTTTAGCAAGAAAATGGGAAGATGAAAACCACTATTTTCTGTTTCAAATTTTCACATAGCATTTGTAGGTTATAATAACAATAAAAAATGAAATCCAGGTTTTGATTTTCAAAGATTTATTATAAAAACAGATCGTTTTTTCCCCCAAAATGCAATAAATCCAATAATTTATTTTTTTTCAAAATGCAATTACTCAAAATAAAATTTTATACACATTGAATTTCTTGTGCATACTATAAATCCATTGCTTTAATATAACAATATTCGGTAACACTTTAAGGGTACATGTCATGAATTATCATGAATTCATGGATAAATGAATCATGCATGAATTATGCATTCATTCATACATTAATATCATCAGGAACTAACAACGTTTTTTTTTAACAGTTCAACGTTTTTCTTGCATGATTAATGGATGAACAACACCTTAATTAAAACATTAACTAAGATGAGCACATCATCATGAATTATGATTTATTAAGCATGATCTAACGTTACTTCTGCATATTGCTGTTGTCAACTTTGGGACGTCGCCGCTGAACTTTTTTGACGGCGATCAGCTGTAAAATGGCTTGGTCCTGCTCGGTTTTCGTTGACTTTGAATAAAACAACTGAAAGTTTTTCAAAAGATCCCCTGGGTCAGTGTGTCAGTGTGACAGAAGTTTGATGCTGTCGTATGAGAACAAGCAACAGCCGGCATTTCCTCCTCCCGAGTGCCTCATCTTCTTAATCTCCTCACGTAAATGATTCGATTTCGATGTCACGTTTACCCATGCAGGATGCCTTACCCTCCGCAAGTTCACCAATGCTGTCAAAATTATTCATTTTTTTGTTTGTTTGTTGATCGAAAGGACAAAATAGAGAAAACCTAGGAAGCCGGGTTAGTTAAAGCGCTGTCGTTACTGTTTACATTGCGTGGAATGGTGCGTTGTGATTGGTTTAGCGGATATGTCGCATTTTGCAGAAAAGGGAGACTGGCGTTTGTCGCGGTTTGGAAAGAAAGGGAGAAAACATTACATAATAACACGGCGGATATCGCATTTTACTTAAAATTTAACACTGTTTTGTATCTGGTAGGTATTGAAAAGTCAGATTTTTGCAGTAACTCATTTTTTTTTAAAATAGCCAAGAACCAAACTCTTCATATGTTCTGTGTGATCTATTTATTGTTGTTTGTACACAAGCATATATATACTGTATATATATATAAATATAAATATATAACAGCCTTGGATTGTGTGTTCGTCCCTTCCCTTACTTCATTACGAGTGGGGAAACACGTGATTCATTTGTTATCTATTTGGGAGTGGAGCATGCACGGTCAGCTCTAGTAAATTGGGGCTGACAGTGTTCATTCATAAATTCCTGGTATGTAACATGCACTATCGAGAGTTTTAGCTCTGCTCTTGTTGGCTTTCTTCTCGAGGGAAGAAAGTCAATAAAGATTTGGCAGCGCGTAGATTACGGGTCTGCAATAAAAATTGTGTGACCCGACCTCGGATCTCGCGTGTGCCGAGGCAGCACGTAGTTTACGGGCAGCATAAAGGCCTCATTATGCTTCTGCGTCAACTCCACGGCGTAGCTACGTCGTCACTACCACGACGTCGTGGCCGTTTTATGTTTCTGCGTCAGGTTGCGTTGCATTGCGGTGCATTTCTCCGCCAGAACGCTAGGGGGGGTGTGGTTCTCGAATCTCTTTGTTAGTTTGTTTTGGTTCTGTGTGCGTGAGCGAAAGAGAGAGAATGTTGTTGCAGCTGGAGCTGGAGCTAATCGACAATGAACAACAAGACGACACGAACTTTGTCCCCCATAGAACCAACACGGATGTCCAGGGCCCGTTCCACCCGAGCTGCCATAGCTGTTCACAAGTCTGTGAATGACTTGAAGTATTTTTTCAGTCTCCACATGGAACTGTAGCCTGAGTGACTAAGTCAGACTTCCTACTTCCGCTAATTTCATTTCACTACTGTAGTGAGTCTGAGATAGCGGCCTATCTTTCAGTTTTCCACCGGCCTGAAAACAGCCGGCCAATTAACGAACAGAGGGCGGGCTGAGAGCCGTGACAAAGACACTAAGTGCCGAGTGTGTAGGTTAGAGAAATCGAAAACCGAAACAACCGCAGAAATGGGAAACAAGACACGGGATGCAATTCGCTCTGTTATGGAGAACATTCTGGGGTTTTTCAAACTGAAGCAAAGGTCGTTTACAGCCATGTTCACTCCGGTATTTCGCTCGCATCATCAGTGTTTACAGCTAGGACCGGCGCGTGCACTTCTGCCCCTCTATTTGCAATGTATACCAGCAAAAACCAGCATGCTTGGCCATTATGTTGCTTGCACAACACGCATACACTTTTGATTCTCTCATCAACACAGATGCAGCCGTTTTTATTTTTGCAAATCATTATAATAAGGAAAAATATTAACACTTCAAGCTTAGGCATTTAGGCTACCCAATTTTTTTCAGACTAATAATTGTATTAATGATGGATCATACCTGTTTGGCCATAACTATATGCATAAATAAGGACATAACTTACCCCCATTCAACGTCAGTTCTCCGTGTTTTACGGCCATGACAAGAAAGTCGGTCTCCTCGGCTGTGAACGCTCCTGGTGCGCTCTTATTATCATATTATTATTGTAGCGGCTTGAATCCAATGATGTTACCGCTGAGAGACTGAGACAGGGACTGTTTGCAACTGATTGACGCAGAAACACATATCGATGAGGCAAATGATTTTTTACTAGCAATTCCAGCAATTCCCTAATTATTATCAAATAATTATTACAATTTCACTAGAAACATGAATTTTTCAAATCACCAATGCATTAGCAACATCATAAAGGCTGGTGTCCATTTCTTCTCACAAAAAAGGAAAAAATCCTGAGAAAAAAATCAAAAAAGTGTTCGTAGTCATAATGTTCATAAAGTCAGGCAACAAGTGAAGTTATCCATCTTCTGCTTCTTGTAAAAGACAGACCTTGGTTATCGGCCTGTCCAGACAGCTGCTTTTAGTCTTAATTTGCACATGACGCACAAATCCTTTTCTGTCTGGAAAAGTTTGAATTATGCGTCCCAGAAGCCAAGAGTTTCGAGGTGCTGTGTTATCCACTATAAGCACGATGTCTCCTGATTTAAAATTGCGTTTGACTCTTGACCATTTCTGACGTTCCTGAAGCTGCGGTAAATACTCCTGAACCCATCTCTTCCAGAACAAATCTGACATGTACTGGACTTGTTTCCATCGTTTACGAGCATAAACATCATCCTTTTTGAATTCTCCTGGTGGTAAAGATGGTGAAGTCCTCAAAAGCAACAGGTGATTTGGTGTTAATGCTTCCAAGTCACTGGAGTCTGTGGATGCTAAGGTTATTGGACGACCATTAATAATTGCTTCCACTTCACAAAGAACGGTGTGTAGGCCTTCCTCATCCAGATTCTGCACTTTTAACGTAGAATTCAGAACTTTACGTACAGATCTAATTAACCTCTCCCATGCCCCTCCATAATGTGATCCAGTTGGGGGGTTAAACGTCCATTTAATTCCTTTCTGAAGAAGGACATCATTGATCTTACACTGATTCCATTCCTTTATGGAGACTCTTAACTCACGTTCTGCTCCAACAAAGTTCTTTCCATTATCCGATCGAAGTTCCTGGACTTGTCCACGTCTAGCAATGAAACGTCGCAGTGCGTTGATAAAAGAATCAGTGTCCAATGAAGGTGCCACTTCAATATGTATGGCTCGTATGGCCAAACAGGTGAAGATTACTCCATACCTTTTCACAACGCTTCTTCTACTCTTTACCTCAAAAGGTCCAAAATAATCTACCCCAACACGGGTAAATGGAGGTTTATTCGGAGTAACTCTTTCTGATGGCAAATCTGCCATCTTTTGGCATCCTGGAAGTGAATTCAGTCTTCGACAGATGACACATTTAGACAATACTCTTCTTATTGCTGTACTTACACCAGTAATCCAATACTTTTGTCGTAATTTAGACAACATATGATTACGACCAGCATGTCCTACCTCCTGATGGATGTGTCGCAGGAGGATATCAGAGATGTGAGAATTCTTGGCTAAAATGACTGGATGTTTGGATTGTTCAGGCATTGATGCCCTACTTAATCGTCCACCAACCCTCAAGACATCATCAAGAACAGGGCAAAGTCCATGAATGCAACTACTTTTCTTTACTCTTTCACCTCTTTTTAGACTAGCAAGCTCATCAGGAAATGTCTTTTCTTGTGAGAGTCTAATAATCTCTAATTCTGCGGTCTCAAGTTCTTCTGTTGAAAGGTGAGATCGTTCAAATTGACCTTTGAAAATCTCCATTTCTCTTTCCACAGAGATTAGTTGTTCATTTGAATCAGAACAAGAAAAATCAAGTCTCAGTTGTTTCCTCTTCTCACTAAAAGACAAGAGCAGCTTCTTAAACCTCAAAATCCAAGCGAATGCTTTCTTTAAACGGAACC